ACCCTATACCTTGAAACAGTACAAGGGCACAACCATGGGAGATTGCACCTTGTACACTCTTTGCCCAGAAAGGAAGGGAAGGGTCACAAGGATGGGCAGAAGATACAAGCATAGTCCATAACCTACATCATGCTTTTGGAAGTACTATATTTGTAGTGTGTCTAGGGTGCATCAGACCGTATATGGTGGGTCAACTCCACTTCAAAACCATGAGGCACCTGGAATTTGGCTTTTGGGCCACAGTAGGAGAAGGAGGGACCACACCATCTTCACCTCAAGCCAAGTGAAGCAAATCAGGAAAGTAACATCCATCCTGCAACTGAGATAGGGCTTGTGTTAGCTGGTTCTGCACCAACCCAACACCAAAACATCCAAATAACAGTAGGATGGGGAAAACTGGTCACAGTGGTGAACTGAACTACACAGACAAAATGTCACCACCCTGTTCTCTACTGAGTGGAAATAATCACACTCAGGAAACATCATCCATGGTATACCGTCCCAGCAGCTAGGAACTCGTGAGCGGTAAAGACTCTCATGCTCCACTAAAAGAAAAAAGGGGGAGGGGTGGGTAGTCCAGAGGAGTGAATCACCCTAAGACAGTGCAATGAGGAATGATGAAAACCCAATTTTTAAAAGCAGGCTAGCACTAGGTTTTAAACTAGGCATAAAGGATGGGTAGGAATCCCATGCTTGCTTTGCTCATGCTAGTCCATGAGTGGGTATGGTCTGGATCAGGTCTTATTTAGGAAAATCAGTACTGCAAGGATACCTCAAGCAGTATTGTGGAATTCCCCACCTCATGGGTGAGCATTTTCAGGCCAGGATAATCCACTGTGAAAATTTTGGTTCAGTATACCCTGACAGCCAAGACTTGCCACTGAGTGGATTCCTGTAAGGGACTTGAGGGCTCTGTAAAAAGAAGGTAAGAATAAAAGTAAGACTCACCCAGTCAAAAATAGTATGGTATGTGAAGAATAGTGAACAGAAGCAGTCCATAGCCCAATGAAGAATAAACGGCCAGATGATAGAGACAGTGTGCAACAAAGGTGTGAGAGGTCATCCAAATGCCAGCCCAAACAATCTTCTCCAATGGACGATGGAAGTGAGCAATGTGTATATGTGCGGTTGTATTTTATAGCAAAGTCACATTAGGCTACCTGCTGCATCCACCAAAGGGGAAACAAACCCTTAATTTTAGCATTGTAAATTTATAGACTTACTGCTGTCCCACTGGGGGTCAGGAAGTGACCAGCCAAATGACACCTGGAAATGTCAACATGCTTCTCCATCTAATGAAGAATATGCCAAATAGATAAACTGTTGGAGTCATCCAGTGAGAGTCATAAGAGAAAGATCATGAGTGGATAAAGATTCCACAGAAAGAAGAGATGGGATCAGGAACCATGAAAGGCAGAATTTTGGCCAAATAACAATGAACTACAAAAATAGGACAGAGGAGATGACTGAAATCTGAATGGGAATGAAAATAAGAATAGAAGGATGAGATATAAAAATGAATGCAATATATAATATCACCCAACTTGCCATAGATGTTTAGAAAGAAATGCATGATATAGATAGAGAAGGATGTAGCGGTGATGGAACAGAATGCGAGAAGAATCTATGGCTTACACATCAGAACAGTGATGACCACAGGCATGAAGAATGAGGAATTAAGTTTCAAGGGACAGATATTATAAAGAACAGTTAGCCAAAGGTTGAAAACAAGGTAGGATAAGGGCATGGAGAACAAAATTAAGGACCCAGTCAGGTAGGCTAGAAGAATGGAGAGGGCTGGGGAGGAAAAAACAACTTAATGGAAAAACCAGAAAGTAGTGGAGAGAGCCACCTACTAACCAGCAATATTCGAAATAGACCAGCCCTAGTAAAAAAGCCATACAACGAACTCGGATAGTTGGGGAGCAGAAGAACGAGAAGGTAAGAAGGATCGACACCAGGACCAGCAGTGAAAAATATGTCACTTTCATTGATGTACTTCTAAAGAAGATGGGAAACTAAATGGAACAGGAAGAAAGCTATATGTGAAGAGAGTCCCAACCATCCTGCAAAGGACTGGATAAATCCCACACATAAAACCAGAGTGATGACATGGATGGATGGAAGAGAGAGGTACGAGGCTAATGAATAAGGGAGCAGGACAGTGGAACAGAAGAGGAGGAAGTCAGAAAGCTCAGCACAGGAAACCACATTTGGATGCAAAAAGGAGAATCCCAAATGAGGAAGAGAAATTGAGTGAGGAGATGAATAGAGGAGTAAGCACAAAGGAATAGATTGGACCATTCCTGACTGAATGCATCCACTACCAGTGCTGATGTATGCAGAGAAGGAGACACAAATAGGGTAAGTTTGACATTGTCACAAGTGGCAAAAGCATCAATGTGAAGAATGTCCATACAAGAGCAGAGCCATCACATAAAAGGAGGATTGAGGGACCACTCTGGAAAAGGGATCCCTAGAGAAGTTCCTTGGATTGTTTCTACAAAACCCAAGGGGATAAGAGGTTTCAAGGAAGCCCAAGTCCCAAATAGATAGAGAACTTCTCACACAAGAAGAGGAAAGGATAGAGCTGTGGAAATCAAACTCTCCATAAATGCAACAGAGAAGGTTGTGATTTGCTGAGACAGGAAGTGAAGAATACACCCAAATGAACCAGATACTGGGTGGGTGTGAGATGAGACTTCTCCAGTTTGATTATCCAACCTAAATGAGACATCTTCCACAGAAGGAGACGAGTATAGTAGGAGGAGTTTTATTGGGATGGAGCTAAAAGAAGCCAATGGTGGAATCTCAGTCCTACGCCATGATCATGATGATCGAAGGCATGCACTATGCTACAAAAAAAAACTCAAAACATATGAGGTCAATGCCAGGCCAAAAGGAAGAGCTAGGAACTGATCAACTTAATCGTGATGTACATACCAAAGATAAAGTCTGGATGCTGAGGAGATGAGAATGTGAAGATGAGCATCAGAGACATCAGGCTTGGTAATCCAAAACTCCAGAGAAAAAGACCATCAGAGGGTACAAAAACACATCATGGTAAACTGAGGAAGGTAAAAAAAAAATGACAGAGACGGGACAGTCAATTAGGAAACAGTAAACAAATGGGAATAAAATCCCAGAGAAGGGTGACAAATCCATTTAATAGCATCCTTTGCCAAAAGTTCATATACCACCTTGAAAGATGTTGGTAAGATACAGGATCCCCTGTACGAGTAAATGGAATGGAAACAAGAGACAAAAGGGGAGGAGAGGAAAAATGAGCCATTGGATAGAACCTGTGGCCCCCAAATGTCAGCTTCAAAAGGAATCCATAGATTCACAAATTGAGCCAAGCAAGCCCCCATTGTCCCTGAACCCAAAAGATAGTCACCAACGAGCTTGTCAGCACTGAAACACTAGGTTGGATAAAAAGTTTGCATATAGAGGGCAACACCAAATCGGGAAAGCTAGATGTGAAAGGAGGTTACATACTGTATTGGAAAAAAATAACATGGAGAGTTTG